GTGGTAAGTTTGAACCGGAATTGTGTGCTATTTGGCTTTTGGAGAACAATAGTAATAATATGAAAAGGAGAGGTCTACATCTGGGATTGGGTTTGACTGACGGATAACTGATATAAAGCCAGAAATTTCTTTCTCCCCTCTAATTTTGTAGAATGCACATCACTGTAGTTCACAATTGTCTATTTGACTGTCTTAGCAGACTATTTATTAAGCTCCGAAACACGTGTTCCTTAACCAGATCGCTGAGCCGCCTTCTGTGATTCATGTGTATGCATTACTGATCGCAACCAACAGATTTAACGGTCTCCTGTTACAATGGTTGCATAATGTACTCAATGACCAAATTTATGGTTTCGTCTCCCAGATGGTCAACATCTGGTATTAAGTATGACATATACAGTGCTGCTTTCGCGTGTTGCGCAATATGTGTGAAAATTTTCTGAGACCACGGAACACATACCCAAATCTCCGAATATTTTTGACATTAACACGACTTAGGTCGTTCATTCATGAGCTCGTCCTAGTCATAAAGCGAATGGACGTAGGATCGCATGTCATTATGCGCAGTCTCGAACATAACCATAAATTCGGCCAGGGCAAAAAAATAGCTAGAGAGATGGTCCAAGCCTAGCAGTCTGATTTCAATTCGATCACCTTTACATCCTTTGAATGAGTCTGCAAGACGAAGAAAAACACAAAAAATGCATTTTAACGAAATAACCTTATGCATAATGTGCTTAGATGTTTTTTTTGATCTCAGATACTGTGCTCAAATCTGAATGTGAAAGCGCAGATCAGTAAACCACGCTCTCCAGACATCATGATACCTTTTCATTCAGTTTCGTTTTGCTCGGTTGATCACTATACAGCCTGGGTAAGCCAAAAATGTGTCCATTCATGATCTCCTATTCGCCGTTTGTTTCATATGTTAGCAGTCGGTAAGCGACTGTTTGCGGTTGCTCTAGAACAACGGCTGAAGGGGACGGGTATCATACCCCGACAAGTAAAACCGACAGACATTCCAATATATACATTTGGAAGTCAAATGTGTTTTCCGGGAAAGTAAGGTCAGTGTTTTGTCAAACTTTGGAACTGGTTCTCTAGGCCGTTGTCAAACGGAACTAAATGTACAAATCATATAGCAAAAATATAACAAGTAAGTATTTCGGAAGTATGCGATGTCCAGGTACTTGAATGAATTAACTGAAGGCGTTGATTTAGACTTTATGCTTAATAATTGGCCCAATTATCAAGGAAGCTTGAATTCCTGCAAGAAAAATTGACATGATTTTGGAACCTAGGGTTGGTAAATAACGAAAACCTGATAAACTAGGCCGCATCTTGTGCGGCAAAAACTGTTATACTACCTTTCCGCTACTCATGTCTCTGATGACGAATTCGCGACGGATATCGAAACGTCAGGCGAATAAACATATTATCCCAGCGATCGAGTCTTCTTCTTCTTCTCAACTGTTATACTATGTCGGAACATACCTTCGACTTAGCAGCGACAATTAAGAATAAGTGTGAGCTTATAACTACCACTAACGAAGAGCCCATGGAATATTTTCTCATGAAGTTCTTCGCCTTCGCGTCGATCACATATGGGTAGAGAAAGTGCAACTCGTGAAATTGCCAATCCCGGGCCCAGCGTCGAGGTTGTTTGGTAAAATATGAAAGACGGCTGTTCACCGATTGCGAACCCAAATTTCGAGCAGGATAAATTGACGGTACGTACAAGGGACGGCTGAAATCACTTTTAAACGACCCCTTTACACGATGAAAGAATAAGTATACACAAGACTTTTGCTGTTGTACGCTTTCCTCTATAAAAGCCAGTTTGCAAATTAGCAAACACGCTTAGAATGTTTAACTTAAACAAGTACCAACCGCTGCAACGCAAAAGCAACGTTATGTACGCCCGTTCTGCCGACCAGCAGCAATAAAAAGTAGCTCCAGTTAATTCACGTACTTTGATGTACCGATTACGTTTAGCAACTGTATTATATTGCCCGAGTTTTACAGGGTGAATGATGGTGTTTGGTTGAATAAGACTGTCACGTGCATTCAAAAATATGTACATCAACCTTAGCACACAGCCTAAAATAATTGTCTTCTGATACTTTTATCCAAGTTCTCGTATAAATTACCACAGAAACTGAACAAAATAGAAGAAAATGGAGATTATATGCCAAACGTAGCAGACGCAGAAGGGTGGGAGACCCAATTACCACATCTTGACCTTGCAGCTGTGTTGTGCAACGGAACACGGTCTGCAAATCAGTCGTGCTTAGGCCTTTGTGATGCCCATTTGCTGTTATGAAAGTAAATACTAACGTTATCTTATTTAAGTAATCGTGTTAAAAGTACATCCAGTGATTGAGTTTAGAGGCTATTCTTTAACCGTTGTGCCTTGGGTATCATTCCAGAGCCATCGCATGTAGTAGCACAGATACCAGTCTTGTATGTAGATATAGCATGCATTTATGACTCCACAATTAATTAACAACTGAACGCTGTTACCCTATCAATTTAAGTATGCCCCATCAGTTCATCTGCCTCCGTTAACTTCAGGGCTGCAGACAAAACAAAGGAGAAAAATGACTGGTCGTCAAATGACCTTCACGCTACGAGTAGTACCTTCTCTCTTGATCTTCACCGAGTGCTACTTGGAATCAATTCCGCAGTTTCTGACAAAGTCCTTCTATTTGCTGACCTCGCCTACTGGCGACGCTGTGGGCAAGTTTTTTCGCCTTTAACTGTTTAAATAATAATAAAATTACTTACGTCATACCTCCAGCTTAAATGTGCCCTTTGCAAAAAACCAAACTACAGGGTAATATTAAAGCAGTTCAAACGGTGCGAGAGTCTGCTTCTCACTACTGCACCATGCCCTGCTCACCGCATCTGTGACTCTCGCGTGATTCATACTCTAATGTAGCTGGCATGCCTAGCATTCAACATCCACTGTCTTCCTGAACAAGCGAGTTAACAGGGGTCGCCGCGAGGGCAATATCCACCAAAATACATCAGTTTACCTTCAATTGACGTACTACTATTCCGATCAACGCTGCACTAAGCGCGAATCCAATCTCTCATACACGAGCGATACCATAAAGACCACATTAAGGCACTCTGGATGAACACAAACATAATATTTGACTTCCTAAATGTGATCTTAAGAATCACGGAATGTTTGTAAACCAGTAAATAGTGCTGCTTGAGATTCGGTATCGCGCCGCCCCCTTGGACATGATAAGTTGCTTTGAAAACCGGGTCTTTCCCAGCAGTACACCGATGTCCGCTGAACAAAAGAGAGGCTCTGCTTGTATATAGAAGAAGCAACTTCAGCTGAATGGGTGCACACGTCATGGCGACACGATGTCCGACATCTTGAAGGAGATTTTGAGAGTCAGGAAATGTATTGGCGCTTCAAATGAGAACGTGATGATGAGAACTTAGCAATGCGTATCTGCTTTGAACAGCTGTGATTAGCTCAAGGGTGGACTGTGATGGTCCTAACAATCACGAGAGACGCAGCGTGGCAACAGGCAATCTGACTGGAACTAGCACACGCAATCCAGGCCCAGGTATTGTGAAGGACACTTAAGTAATAAATTATTTTTCAAGACGGACTTTCTGACTCCGGCGAAATGTTGATTATTTATTTGGACGTTTGTAGAAGTCCCTTTGCAAAAAGATAAGTCGCTGACCCCCTTGTTTGCTTTTTGAGAAATCCTTGGCATGTCTCGACAATCACTTAAATATTAACAGCTGCTAATGCTAAGCCACTCTCTGCTGGTTCTGCCTCTGTCAGGCCGCCAGGTCCGGGTGAGTGGACTAGGAGCCACTGCATTAGATGCTACGCAAACCTGTTCATCATGAATTACTTTAAAAAATTGTCGTTAGTGCCATGCATTATCATTGACGACCACGTTTGTCATCGTAATATGCGATGGTCAGACATTCGTGGCATTCACGTGACGGTTTGCTTTGTGTTTCAGATATCCTCACCATATTCTCGTCCCTGTCCTCCTTGCTCGCGCTATCCTGGGCATCTTCCGGCCTTTGGTTCGCAGTCCGAGATCACATGTACTACCCTTCCCCATGCGAATTCTTCCAGCTATCCTCTCTGCTCTACTTCCTATGCAATGTCTTCATGCTCTCCGGACGCCTACTGGCCCTCAGTTATTTTGCGGCGTTGATCGGACTCATGCCCCTGGTCTATGTTGTACTAGCCCAGGCTTGTATGGCTATACTTACCGACCTGCTTGTAAACTGGGGCCACGCAGCTAGGTCCGAGCAGTCAAAGGAGAACGTCGTCTCGCGACTGTTGGAAACTTGCAGCCTCGTGTTTGATGTTCCATTCTCCATAACCTTCATGAGCGGTCCTGCACGTAAAGGCTGCTACTGCTTGTGGTTCTTTGAAACGCTGTTTCTGGTCGTATTCTCATTTTGTTGGCCCAGTCAACGGCAGGAGCATACTGCCACAAACGCGACGTTAACCGTGCTGGAGACCAGTTCAGATCTAAAGAGCTTCCTGTTGGCCCTTGTCCTCGTATTTGCAACGTTGGGAATACTGCTTCGTTACTTACACTACCGCAAGGAATTAAATAATCTAAAGAACCTGGTAGGTGATTTAGAATTTTAAATATAGGATTGGAAACGTTAGGAAGATAAAAAAAACTCTCGTTCCAGTGGTTGCATTTACTGCTTCTGAACTGCTTCCTGGAACTCGCATATTCACTTCTATTGGCACTTCAGACTTGTCGTATTTTGACAGACCACATAAACGCTGCATAACGCAACAAATAGCCGTTTTGGTCAGCCCTCCTATACTTGTAGTTGGTTAATCGTCATATTTGGTCCTATATGGAGGTTAATGTAACCTGTGTGTTGTCACCTAACCAATCACTGTTATGTTAGGTAATATATATGCCTTAAAATGGTTTAGACTTTCTAGGTAATGTGTTAGATTTTCACCTGAATGGATGCACCTAAGTTGAAATACGATGTCAAGGGAAGTTCAAAATAATAATATTTATGTGGTTATACATAAATAAGCAAGGGTTAGACATGCATTTCTCATTATAACACGAATATTTGTGTAAATTATGTAGACGCGTGGCTGCGAGTTTATAAGTATAGACTGATAAGGCCGGGGAACAAATGACAAGGGGAACCTACGAATGCGAAGAAAACAAACAAGGTCATAGGACACAGGAGACAATGACTAATGGATGACGACGCGGGCACTGTCTCGGGTACATCAGTTTACTAACAGCCAGTGAGACTCAAAATAAAAAAACCATATGGCGTTGCTATGCAGAAGATCGCAATACGACTTCAGGGAGATATCTTAAAAAGTTGTACTGAACGAATGCATATAGACACAAATAAAAAGTGGTATTTAAAATACATCACCTTTGCTTCAGCTAATATATTTAGATAAGTATTCAACTCTCTGATTTTGTAAATAAGCACCCATGATTATCCAGCTCCCACTACGTCCAAAGTGTGCTGTCTTTTCTCGGTTAACTATTTATTTCGGTGTTTTGAATGGTGCCGTCAAAAGAGTGCGTTTTTACTCGCAAGTCCACTTCATTATATTCAGTATGCGTAAATACAAGCGAGGGTCCTCAATTATTCGACATTAGTTATCATGCATTACCGTAAATGAGTAACATGTGATGCATTCCATTTTCCGTCCCTAGGATCAGAATATCTGCGAGTTTTCTGCAATGCTGGAAGCGAATTGGAACGTAATGGGGGACCTTGAGTTGCTACCTGAGGTTTTCAGTAAGGTATGTTAAAACCCAAAGTTTTGTCGTATGGATTTAAATGGGCATTGCATACATATTAAGACGATACAGATAGCCACTGGCTTTTTTTATCGGTAGATTCAGATTACAAAATAAGGCAGATGAGCATTTACTGTATTGTGATTAACAGGAACACATTGTGTCCTGGATGCACAAAAAAACATCGTTTCTACTTGAAAAGTGCATGCCGATAATAAAAGCTTTACCAATAAATCAAAAAGCATTTGATATTTAAATGTCCTGTACAGTTCTCGCCGTTGATGGTCCAATAACGGCAAGTCTGCATGAAAAACATTCTAGCTCGCAATGCATTCACCTAACAGACCCGCAAGTAATACTGCGTGAAAGCTTCAATAAATCCTTAAAAGGAGGCAGATTCCGATACATAAAGTACCATTTATTATCTTAGAACTAATATGTTTTACCAAAAACCGTCAAATCCAAAAAAGGGCAG